GCGGCGGCCGCGTGTGCGCCCACCCAGCCCTGCTTGTGTGCCCGCCTCGGCCCGGGGAGCCCTGGGCCCGACACACCGGGGCCCTGCAGTTCTAGCCATCCCTGGCTTGACCTGATGGTGTCACCTCCCAGCCCTCCTAGCGACGCCTGTCACCCATCTTCTCTTGTAGCAGAAATAGCATTTTCCTTTGTGTGCAAAAAACTGCAGGGGTATTTAAAACTCTGTTTTCTCTAAGCAGAAAACCAGCACCTACATCTCTAACCTTTCCGTGGCCTCAAGGGAATGGATGCTGCGGCTGGTGGTTTGCACTTGGTGGTCTGTCTTGAAATCGGTGTATTTAACCTAATTATGTAATAGCGTGTTGGAGCTTTCCTTCGTTTAGGGACACATTAACTCCCTGAGCCTTGCATTTGTTAAGTTTTGAATGCTTTCTCAGTCTGGTGTGCTTTGTGTTTCTTAACTCAAGGTGACTAAAGTGGACTAGCTCATCTTCATGAACAGTCCACTTAAAGGCTCGTTCAGCAGCTCCTCCACTCTTCTCCAGCTTCCTTATTTGGTTAAAGTTTAGGAGGGAAAACTTTAAGGGGCAAAATATACTAAATGTAGCTAGCAAAAGTGTGAAAAGGCACAAAGGGAAATCCCTGGGGCCAGAACAGACTTGCCCACGGGTGTGGTTGGGGGTCTCCACACATGGGGCATTTACTGCCGGCCGGCCCTATTCCCACCCCACCCCCTCAACCCACATTTTTCAGAGGTGTTGCTCTTCGTGTCATTGGTAAAAGTTTATTATTCACTCATCTTTCTTAGCCTCCTTCTGGTCCAAGTCAAGAAAAGGACATTAAACACAAGAAAGAAAGCAGGCTTGACAATGAGGTAAGTCATTGCTATGGAAACAACAGAAAATACTGCCGTAAGCTGAATATGCTTATATTCAATACGCTTCTATAGTTCAATATGCTTATAGACTTGAATTTGAATTAGAACATAATTATTAACTAAATTACACCTGGCCACAGTAATCTGTCTTAAACTTTGTTAGCCTTAGATAAAAGATGTCTTAACTTAGAGATGAGCTCACCGCACAGCTCTAAGTGGTCCTGAGTTTAAGTTGGGAGAGCAGAGCTCTTTAGTGTGAAGCGAGCTAGCTACTTTGTTAAACAGCTCATGAAAACAACAGAGTATTTACTGAGCATCAACAGTTAGTAAGATCTAAGGAGGACTCCCTGGCCTGGAAGGGTCTGTCTGGTTGAGTCAAGAAAAATAAATGCAGGAGAAACAACTAGAAAGCAAAGTCAGATGGTATTTAAGTGAGTGGTGATGTAACTCCGCATACATGTATATGGAACATGGGGGAAAGCTGGGTGGAGTAGTTAGAAGAGGTGGGCTTTGAGGGGACCCTGATGGCTGAGAAGTCAACCGAGTGGAGAGGAGCCTTCGGGAATTGAGAGCAGTAATGCAAGCCAGCCCAGTGAATGACCAGTGGCTTGCTGACTGCGGAACTTTTCCTAACTTTTTTGAGCTGAAAAGTTAGGAAAAAGTGGACTGGGTATATATATTAAAAGATTTATTATTTATTCATACAGAACTGGGGTACAGGCCAGAGATGCGGAGGGTAGAAGGAGCCACCAGAGACAGAGTGGGGAGCAGAACAGACCCACTGACAAAGTACACTGCTGAGGGGAGCAGCGGGCTGGTCAGGAGAGGTCACCTCCATGTGGTCACCTCCCGGGCAGGTGGGGATCGAACTCATGCGGAAGTGGCTTAAGCTTCTTAGTGCTGTGCTTTAACCCGCTGCGCCACCAGGGAGGGCCCAGGATATATTAACCTTATTGTAATGATTCTAATGATTTCCAGGGGGAAAATCAACCGAGTTTCATAAAGGAAAGATTAAAGTTTTTTGAAATATTGAAGAAAGACCAGCAGCTCTTACTTGCCTCTTACGGACAAAAGGGGAATACCAGCAAGACGATCACAGTAACAATGGCTGACGGGAAGACAGTGGAAGGGGAAGTCTGGAAAACGACACCCTGTCAAGTGGCTGCTGGAATCAGGTAAACTGATAGTTCGGAGAAGGTCTTCAAATATATTATCGCACCAGACCGGGAGAATGTGTTCTTGGGGACTAGTAAGCTATTTTTTTTTCTAGTTTAACTGATTAAGTATAATTAGTTAATTCTCTCTTCAGTTTCTAAAGAGAAATAAGTAACTGTTAAATAAGTAATTGTATCTTAGAGAATAAACTCTTTCTCCTTGAATGCCAAATGTTTAAAGATCTGGTAAAAATACATAGCAGCGAAAAACTATGATACAAAACTGCCATGTACATAAACGTTTATTCTTGAAAAAGCAAACTTTTTCAGCAATTGAAATCCTCAGATTTCCTTTGAAATAAGATTGTATTTCTCTTTGACTTTCGCCTATCACCTACCATGCACCCAACAGGCCTCTCCCAACCTGTTCCCATGATGTCCCAGACAGAGGAATGATGGAAAAGGGGGTAGTGGGCTTTGAAGCAAAATCAAGCCTGCGTCTTCATAGGGAGTCAGGCTGCAAGTTGGTGTGTGAGGAGCTTACTAGTGAAGGGTTGCAGGCATGTCTGAGAGGTAGAACAGCCCAGAACAAAGGACATTCAGAGCTGTCCCAGACACACCAGGTGTGCAGGGGAATAGACTGCCTGGCCGCCGAGTCTGGGCAAAAATTGTCAACTGGGGTGTCGAGGCTTAAAAAAAAAAACAGCTGTTGAACTGTGTCAGGCATCTGATTATTTATCCTCAACATTTATGGGTTAAATAATGTAGCATGAAAAAAGAAATACAAAGTTATGGAATAATAGACGTCAATATGTCTCTCAGTTTGGAGCAGATAAAATAGGCAAAAATGAAGATGTGTGTGTGTGTGTGTGTGTGAATAATGACCTGAAAGGAGGCTTCCTGGCAGCTCACAGGCCTCTGTGCCCTCAGGCAGAGGCAGTGTACCCCGCTTGGTCCCCCACTATGGTCATGCTTTACGCTCAGGAGCCTAGTAAGACGCAGAAACAGTTGACATTATGTGAGGATCATGAGTCCACTTTGAATTCATCAAACAGAGTGTGTATGTGTGTGTTTTCCACAGGGAAGTCACTATAGAAGAAGACTGGAAAGACATGGCAGAATGTTACAGAAAACTGTGGGTGGAGACAGAAGATTGATTGTAATTTTAGTTTTGTGCTTTCTCTGTTTTCCCAAACCTATACTACTGCTTTTGTACTTGACATACATGGTGCAATTGTCAGACATCTGTACTTCCTATCCAGTTTTCAAAAACTGACGTTATGTTCATTTTTTGTTTCAATGAGTCATTTCAGCATAGGATCAGGTTAACTCCCCAGTGGTTTTCTCTCACTAGTCAAGAGCTGGCTGAAAGCACAGTAATAGCCAAAGTAAACGGTGAACTGTGGGACTTGGACCGGCCATTGGAGGGGGATTGTACCCTGGAGCTGCTGACGTTTGACAACGAGGAAGCTCAAGCTGTAAGTACTGAAAACCAACCGACCAGACGTTGGGTATTTTTGTCATAAACTGCAATAGACACAGAACCACATATCAACCTCAGTGAGTTTTGTGGCCTTCTAAAATTTAAAATTTGCATTGTGGTCTTGAACAAATAGATAATAAGTTTTAGTGGAATAGATGTATAGAAGAACATGTGTTTTAAGTTAGCCTTATTTGTTATTTCTCAAAACAATTCTTTCCTGAAGTCAGAATGCTTTTATTATTAAATCAACGTGCATTCGAATTGAATTTCAAAGGACTTTTAAGATGGATTTAGATAGATGAGAATTAGAAAAAATTATCAAAACTCACCTATCCTTCAAATACTTACCAATGTCATAGCTTGCAAGGAGAGCCATTCCCACATGGGTTTCTGATATACTTGTCTCCTTAGCCTTGCAGACGCCTTTCAGGCTGTCCATCATCTGCACAGAGACCTATGGTTAGCTCAGGTACATGAAAGGTGACACTTGGGCTCGATTTCTTGGTGTATTACTCCCAGCTGTGAGAACCTTATCATCATGGCTTTTCTGTTTAGAATAAAGGCGTTTGGTGGCTCAGCAACATACCTGCTTGCGGCCTTCAGTTTTTTCTGGTTGATTTTCCATGGCATGAGTAGAGGGCCGGTGGCTCTGTCTGTCCCTGCAGGTGTACTGGCACTCCAGCGCGCACGTTTTGGGGGAGGCCATGGAGCTCTACTATGGCGGTCACCTGTGCTACGGCCCCCCCATTGAAAATGGATTTTATTATGACATGTTCATGGAGGACAGGTAACGCCACTGAATGTCCACGTCTGATTCCATGTCCCTGTTCTTTTAGCGACTATGTCTATAAGAGGATGCAATTATAGATGGGTTAACTACTTTTGAAAAAAAAATTTTTTTTAATTTTTTTTTTTTGCGTTTAGATAAAGGGCCACTTGGCAAATAGTTTTCTTTCTGTGCGATGTGCTATTTATCGAATCCAGGACTTGCTCGAATATAATACTAACTGAGATTAGAATCCCTAGGGAGCAGTGAGCCCCCTCTGCACCGTGGTAGCAAGGGCCCTGTCGTACACACCCGTTCTGGACAGGGCAGTTCGGAGGTTCACAGTCAGTAGGTGCAGACTGATAGTCATGAGCGACCTGGCCCAGCCTTCCCTGCATTGCATCTGCCAGAACTGAAACTGTGGGTCCACCACAGGCCTGCCCCTCACTGCCACCCACTCAGTCTAGTTCTGCAGTGTCACCTCTAGGCTGCCACCCTCCTCTCCTCTCTACTTCAGCCTTGCTTTAGATCCATAGTCTCTTGGATTGTGCATCGGTACAATGCATTTGCCTTTTCCTAACCCCTGTGCCCTGCTTAAATGATGTCCAGGACACCCCTGGTGTGTCCTTCAGGAATGTCCAGCTTTCAGGAGTATCCAGTTTCACCTCCAGTTACCCCCAACCCAACACTCATCCCACTGGGTTTGCACCTGCCTGCTTCATGCACTCTGCTTGGGGCTGGCGATTGAGCCCTGGACAGATGAGTCTGTCCTCTTGGGACCAACCGTTTGGTTGGGGGAAGACAGGCCCTAAGTGACCCAGCATGGGAGGTGTGTGCCTTGCCAGGCAGGGGGTCAGGACATTGAAGGAGACGCCACGGTGGAGGTGGGGAGCGAGTGCTGAAACTACTGGGGTTTGTTTATAGACGTTTAGGGGGAGAACATTTCAGGAATGGCAGGGAAGCCAGGTGACCGGAGGTCAGGCCTGTTGCGCAGAGCTGGGTGGCCCTTGGGAGCACCTGAGGCTGCAGTTCAGGCTCACAGCTCTTTCTCCTAACCTGGCCCTGCGGTCAGTGAGCACTGTCTACAACTCCTAAACAGAGCAGAAGCATGTGAAGGAGACTGCCTAGCACAGGCCTCAGGGGAGCTTCCATCAGACATGCTTTATTCTAGCACTTTCCAAACTGCACAACTCATCACAAAGAGAACTGAAGGCAGATCACTTCATCCACTGATGTCTGGTCGCCCTTGTGTGAGACTGGATTATCCGCCTTGTGTGTGAGTGCTTGGCTTGGGAAGCCCCGGTACAATCAAACACCCACGCTTTCAGTTTAGAAAGCGTGTCCTTTAGAGGAAAAAGGCCAAGGGGCAAAAGGTCGCAAGAAATAGCATCATCATGTCTGGAAAACCTGTGTCCATCCCGCCCACCCTTCTTTTCAGAGCAGTGTCCAGCTCAGAGCTGTCAGCCCTGGAGAACATGTGCCGGGCCATCGTGAAGGAGAAGCAGCCTTTTGAGAGGCTGGAGGTCAGCAAGGACGCCCTCCTGGAAATGTTTAAGGTAAGCACAGGAAGCCCTAGAGTAGGAGGCTACCGGTCATTCCATGTGGGCTTTCTCAGTCCCTGAAGACTTCCGTGCAGACATAGATAGGTCCAGGATCAAGTGAGTAGCTTTCATATGAGTTTATAAATCTGATTACGATCCTGATTAGTATCGATAATACTTTGACTATCCAGTAACATGTACTCTGCCACATGAAATTCTGTGGTTTTGCTTTGGGGCATTCTGTTAATTTTAGCCTAGCATAACCTAGAATGTTGTTTTGACCAATGTACATAAGTATATCCTTCCTTTTAGTTTTGAAATCATACACATCAAAGAAGCACATGACTTGAAGGCACTGTATTAGTTTCATGGATGTGCATTGAAGAATAAGTTTGGATTTAGTGACACTGGAGTTACTCTTTTTTGGTGGCACAGTATTAAAGGAGTCACCTTAGTCAATTTTTAAGATTTATTTATTCATGCATACAGAACTGGGGTATAGGCCAGAGGTGCAGGAATGGTGAGAGGCTTCACCAGAGACCAAGTGGAGAGCAGAACAGGCAGATGGATGAAGTCCACTGCTGAGGGGAGCAGCGGGCGGGTCAGGAGAGGTCTGCCGCGCCCTGTGGGTCATCTCTGGGGCGGGATCAAACTCGTGCTGAAGTGGCTTTAGCTTCTTAGTGCTGTGCTTTAACCCGCTGCGCCACCAAGAAGGACTCTCACCTTAATCATTTTTAAGGGTGTAGGTCCGTGACATTCACGTTGCTGCGCACCCATCACCAAGGTCCATCCCAGGGCTCCCTCGAGTTCCTGGAGGAGCCCTGTGCTCCTGCCTCTCACACCTTTGCTGCTATGAACTTCCATGCAGATGGAGCCCTGCTGTAGCTGGCTTTTGGCGATTGTTCCCTCAGCATAATGGTCTCATGGTTTCTTCAAGTTGTGGCATGTGTCAAAACCTCATTTCTCGGGAGGCTGAGTAATGGCCCACTGAGTGCACACAGCACTTTTTGTTCACTCACTTACCTGCCAGTAGACACTTGGGTTTCTTCTGCCTTTTGACAACGTCAGTGATGTTGTTCTGGACACGAATGTACATATATTGTCCAGGCTCCTGCTTTCATTTATTTTGGATGTATATGCAGAAGTGGAGTTACTGAAAATGTGGGGAAATCTGTGCTTTATTTTTTGAAAACCTGCCATGGTTCTTGCCACACACCTGTACCCCCCACCAGCAGGACACAAGGGTTGCAATTTCTCCACATGCTGGCCAACACTTCCTATTTTCTGTTGTGTGGTTTGTTTGTTTTTAGATAATCCCATCCGAGTGGGTATGGGTGGTATCTCATTGTGGTTTTGATTTGCCTTTCTCTCATGACTAGTGAGACCAAGCATCTTTTCAGTTGCTTATTGGCCATTTGTGTATCTTCTGTAACAAAGTGTCTACTCAAGTCCTTTGCTTATTTTGAACTGGGTTTTCTTATTCTTGAGTTGTGGGGATCATAGGTATTAATCTCTTATCAGATATGGGATTTGTGATTATTTTCTCCCATTCTGTGGGTTGAGATCTAAACTAGATCACAGCTAAGAAAATTGATTTGATCTTAACAATATGAAAGTTCAATCACACACATCTTTTCCCTCCCAGCATCTGCCTCCTTTCAGTAGTTTACATCACGTAAAGAATTGGCACCATGAGAATAATGAAAGCAGAAAACAAAGGGGAAATCTCTGCTACATTTTTCATGTATTGATTTAATCATTTACCATAAACTTCATTTTATAAACAAATTAATGCTGAAATAATTTATTGTATATAGTTAAAATGGGAATCTTCCAGAACAGTGCTATCTAATAGAAAGATAACACAGTCCACAAGTCTGGGAATCCGTAGCTTTCTGGCAGTCACATTTTGAAACTAAAAGACAGGTGAAATTAGTTTCTATAACATTTTATGAAACCTCAATCTGTTGTGTACCTGACATTAAAAAATAGTTAAGGAACTCTTTAATCCAGGGTGCCCATGAAATCAAGTGGCTTTGCACTTAAAGTGCGTCTCATTTCACATCCTTGCTCGTCCAGTCCTCTCCCGCGGCCCCCAGCACAGGGGCCATGAGCTTTGCCTCCCCGCATCTCAGCACCCGGATGTGGAAGACACTTATTGAACGAAGCAGCAGTTTCCATTTAACCATTTTCTGTAATAATATATGACTGTGTTTGTCTTTTTAGTACAATAAATTTAAATGCCGCATCCTGAATGAAAAGGTCAACACTCCGACCACCACAGTTTACAGGTAAGGACTGTGTGTAAGCTTTAACCACGGCTCACTGGGGACCCCCGCAGAAACTTACCTGGCTTTGGCTGGGTAGTGTAGGTACCAGTCTCCATGGCTACTGTGCTAGTTTAATTAGGGACTCTGGACTATTGCCACCAAAAGAAAAAAAAAATTTCTTCCTTATATGTGTTTATCAGGAGGGAACCAAAATCCAAACTTTGTTTTCTGGATGTGAACTTTAACACCACCTTTCTCCATGAGGGTGAGACTGTATTTGCCCAGTGCCTTACATTTTAAGGGGGAGCTGCAGGGAAAGGAATGTTGCTTCTTGCTTCCACATTCTCATTAATGGAACGAAATGTAGCTGGGGGGAAGAGCAGTGAGTGGGAGCAAGACCAGAACAACTCCACGCGCTCGCCTGTCAGGCCCCTTTCACTCACCCGTGTGTTAAGCCCCTTGAGGGGGATTGCTGTCACCCACTTGTGCATGTTCGGGCCCCACCTTGGAAGATCATCTGGATAGATACGATTGCAGATGTCCCCGGCAGAGTACCTCTGCCCCACGGTCAGGCAACACTGGTTCTCTGCTTCCCCTCTTGCAGTCAGGCTTGATGCTTCTCTTAATTGTAACGTAACTCCTTGTGTGTGACCTTGAAGTTGAATACCATGTTTATCTTGCTTTTTGCCACTCTCTGGTGACATGGTAAGGTTTTACCTCGAATACAAATAAATGCTAATATGATCATTTTAAAGTTAAAAATGAAGGATGAAGTAGAAAAGGTGTATCAGGCTTTAAATTTCTGACTTCTAACCCTTGCTCTTTTTAAAATCTTACCTAGGTCAATGTTGATACTTCTTGATCTATCATTTTGAATGACTTGTATATAAATTTTGGAAAATGAGTGAATGAATTTTTTTTATGGGATTGTATTAACTTTAGAGTGGTGCATCTTTGCTACTAACTTGACATTCCTCTGAGCATTGATGCACCTCTCCACCTGGACGGAGACTCTACCCTAAGCCTGGCCATGCACAGAAGTGGCATTACATATTTAAAGCTTCATCCTATTTTGGTGAATAAGCCACTCCTTTTACATAAAGATACATTAAAATACATAAAATAATTATGTAAATCATTCATTGTAATTGTTAACTAACAATACAAGCCAGTGAACTTTAAAAATACTTAAAATTAGTTGGAATCAATTAGGGAACAACTTACTTTCCTGAATCACTTTTCTTAAGCTGGTTGGTGTCACTGCCAACTTTGTTGTTAGTAAGCCACTGTTAGTATTCCTGCACTTAAGAAAAGTCTGTGCAGGTTAAGGTTTGGGGGTTCTTTCTTGTTTATTATAGGCAAAAGCTGGTCCCCTGCTACAGCCTGGTGTCACCGCTCACCTAAACGCTGGCCTGAGGTTTGCATCCTACATCTCTGTACTGTTTTAATAAAGTGCAAGGCAACAGGCACTTTTCATAAAACCCCCAACCAAATAAACAAAAAACTCTTTTGACAATGACTTATTTAATAGACTTGGTTTTTTTAGAGCAAGTGAAAGGAAGGTAGAGACTTCCCATATACCCCTCCCATCCGTGCAGAATTTCCCCTCAGCATCCCTCCAGAGAGTCCACTGAGGAACTCGCAATGACACGTCACCCCTGCACCCCACAGTTTGCGTTACCATTCATTCTCGGAGTTGTACATTCTAGGGGTTTGATGAAGTTTATTTTTCAAGTGTTAATTTAATGCCTTTTGAACAAATTACAGGTGATTTTAGTTCTTAATATTCATCCAGAGCAGGGGAGTAGCTTTTTGATTCTGCGACAGTGGAGGTTTTGGGGGGAGCCTTGGGCTGTGGCAAGGAAGAGTGATGTCTCTGTAGGCAGTTTCTTTCAGAAGATTCTGCAGCGTTTGCATTTGAGAGGGAAGACTGGGATCTGAGCTCCGGGATCGCCTCTCTCCTTTGGCCTAAATTAAAAATTAAAATTTGATTTCACTTAAATTGCCCCTAAGTTAAAAATTGCCCTGAGATCTATAAGCAAGTGAAACCTTTCACTCCAAGTAGGAGCTTCAACACGGTTTGTAATCACTGGTCCCCCAGACTGTAACTGTGTCTGGGCTTGTGTCCACTGTCTCCTGCTAGGTGCGGCCCACTGATTGACCTCTGCAAAGGGCCCCACGTGAGGCATACTGGACAAATTAAAGCCATCAGAATTTTCAAGGTAAAGATGGATTCCTATATACATATATGAAAAGCCAAGCTGAACCAGATAGAAAATATGGAATTGCTGCTGACTCTTTGATAATCTAAACCTCATGTTATTTTAAAATACTTCATTTTTCATTTTCACGTGGTCTTCTAAAAATAAGTACTTTTAGAAATTCATATGTCATTTGTTGTTTATCATTCGCTTTCTGTAAGTGTTGCAGTGCATTTCTTTTGCATGTGACATTTAGGCGGGGAGGGGCTGGGAAGGGTTAGGTGGAATCGCATTAAGAGCCTCTGCAGCGCCCAGAGTGCCGCCTTCATAAGCCCTGCTCACCTGGCGGGGGCGCCCGGGGCTTTTATTGCCCCCTCCCGTGTGACGTGCTGCCCTGTCCGTTTGATGTCCAGAATTCCTCCACGTACTGGGAAGGCCGTCCTGAGATGGAGACACTGCAAAGGATCTACGGGGTGTCCTTTCCTGACAGCAAGATGATGAAGACCTGGGAGAAGCTCCAAGAGGAAGCCAAGAACAGAGACCACCGGAAAATCGGGAAGGTACGCTGGCCGCCCGTGGCCATGAGCGGGGCGTCCCCCTGCTGGCTCACGGCTATGGCTCCGGAACACTTGCCTTAAACGTTCCTTCTCGTCTGACTGGCCCTTGGCTGGCCCTCGGCGCTTGAGTCCTCTGCCTCTTTCTCCCTGTATCTTTTATCGGGTGTTGAAACTACACTCTTCTTTCGTTTTTATCATGTTACAACCTTAGTTTTTCGTGAAGAGTAGATTTGATAAGACTTTGGGAGGTAGAGCAGAAAGAACGAGGTTTAAAGGCAGGTGGACCGGTTTCAGCCTCTCCAGCGAGAGCTGTGCAGCAGGTGGCCCAGCGCGTCCCAGGTGACCCTGGTGACCTTGTGGGGTTACAGCGAGGACAGATGCCAGGTGAGGTGGCCGGCAGGGGTACGCCAGGGGGCGATAATGACACCATTCCTTCCAGCCCCTTCCAGCAGGGTATTTATCTGCTCACTTTGCCCACTACCAGGTAAGAAATTAGCAGTAAACAGTTAGTGTAAAGCCTGGTAGCCATAAATACGAATTGTAATTCGCACATGTGCAATGGTGGTGTATGGCAAGATTCAAGTGTTGCAGACTTTGGAATGTTAGCTACTGGGAAGTGGAAATTACAACTGAAATTTATAAACTAAATAGTCTACCAAATTGAATGCAAAATTTATAAACTAAAATGTGTTTTGTTCCCAGCATGTCACATGTGTGCAGTAAATTAAGCAACGGCAGTGAAATTTGAGGTGCAATTATTGTTTTAATCTAGGAACAAGAACTTTTCTTTTTCCATGATCTGAGTCCTGGAAGCTGTTTTTTTCTTCCAAGAGGAGCCTTCATTTATAACACACTTATGGATTTCATTCGAGTAAGTTAATTTCGAAATTATTTTTATTCACCTCCACTTTATATTTGTAGTAAAATGGGCAAACCATTCCATTAATTTTATTTTAGCAATATTAAAATTTTTTGCACCTAAAAGGGAAATACTAAATGATGTCATCTCACAAAAACATGGAGATAAATAGTATTTTCCCTAAATAAAATTCATGCTTGGAGTTTAGTCAATGTACCTGTACCATATAAATTTCTAGAGCTTGGGCCCTCCCTGGTGGCGCAGCGGGTTAAAGCACAGCACTGAGAATCTAAAGCTGCTTTTGCATGAGTCCGATTCCCGCCTGCCCCGGAGGTGACCACATGGTGTGGCAGACCTCTCCTGACCCACCTGCTGCTCCCCTCAGTGTACTTGGTCGATCTGCCTGTTCTGCTCCCCACTCTGTCTCTGGTGAAGCCTCTCACCGCCCCTGAGCCTCTAGCCTGTACCCCAGTTCTGTATGCACAAATAAACAAATAAATCATTAAAAAAAATTTCTAGAGCTTACAATATGAAGATTAAGCCTTAGGCCGAATGTGGAAAGGAGCAAGCATCGTATCTGGCATAGAATGCTCCACTGTGGCTCTTTGCATCTCACGTGTGCTCCTCGTGGTCTGACGTGACTCCCAGGCAGCTGGACAGCACCAAAGCAAAGCGTGAAGGAACAGTTCCATAAAACCCCACTTGTAATCAAGTATCACCCAGATACTTGAGGGGATCCTTGTGGAATACTAGGGCTGCACTTCCCAGGTGCTCTTGGTCTTTACTATAATTAATACATAGACTTTTGGTTTACTCAGTTTTCTTTTTGCCTATCACTAATTGATCTGCAACTTTCTGTTAAAACTCAGAAACTCCTTACAGCTTCTTCTGATAATTCAAATAATTTCTCAGTAATTTGTTCTTCTATGTGGTCCTCTTGCTCCAGAACTAACTTGCTGCTAAGATTCTTGCCAAATGATGTCTTAAGGCTTCTTCTCATCAGCATCGTGGCTACGTCCCTCAAAATCTCTCCTCTGGAATCCCATTTATCCTGATGTTGGGTTTCCCCTTTCCAGCTAACGCCTCTCATTCAAGAGAGCATGTTCTTAGCAGCTTCCTGACAAAAATGTACTGGTTATTCTCTGTCTGTATCACCAGACACTCCTTGTTCTACATTCTCTTCTTATCCTGGTGCTCCTGGAGGCTGACCTCTATGGTCTCTGATCTGGGTCTGGTCAGTGCTTGACCAAAGTAGTCAGAGGGGAGAGGTGAGACTTGAAGAATCACTGAAAATTATCAGAGGTGTCAGCAGCTGGTCATGACCACCGCAGCTACTGTTTTGATGTATTGTTTTTTCCGGAACAGCAACACTTTCTCCGGCACCTTGAAATCTCTAGGTTGGGTGTGGAGTATGTAGAATAAATAATGGCCTTAAAGGAATCTCTTATATTTTATAGATGCCAGACACATAGGACTGTTGGTCAGGCCCAAGGTCTGATCGTGTGGGCTGCTGAACTGTACAGCCATTTACACACAGATCCCCAGTGGCCCCCTTATGCCAAGGTAAGGGCATTGGTGGGAGGCTTGGAATGGAACTATGTAACAGAAACAGATGAGTTAGAACTTTAAACTCCCAGATAATGCTTAGCTGAAGAAACTGGCCTTTCTCTGTAAAAACAAAACAAAACTGGGGCATCACCCTTTTTTTTTTCTCTTGGGTTTCTTTTATATGGTCTTGCCTCTTCACACATCTAGTAATCCTTTTTTTTTTTTTTTTTAAAGATTTATTTATTTATTCATACAGAACTGGGATACAGGCCAGAGATGCGGAGGGTGAAAGGATTCACCAGGGACAGAGTGGGTTGCAGAACAGGCAGACTGTTGAAGTACACTGCTGAGAGGAGCAGCGGGCCGGTCAGGAGAGGTCTGCTGCACCATGTGGATCCCTCCTCCGGGGCAGGCGGGAATCGAACTCATGCGGAAGTGGCTTAAGCTTCTTAGTGCAGTGCTTTAACCCGCTGCGCCACCAGGGAGGGCCATAGTAATCCTTTTTTAATATTCTAAATGTTATATATAAAAATAGCTGCAGAGTCTCTAGATATTGTTATCTTCCACTAAAGCACTTCCTCTCTGCCAGGATTGAAGACTGACCTCTCAATTCAACCAGAAGTTTAGCAGAGGATGGCAGGGCTTTTATTTTGATAAGACAGTTCTGCCTCTATTCACCTATGTCTGCACTCAGGCATAGGCTGTGGCCAGAGTTGTTGACTGATGTATAAGTTACATTTATTAAAATGCGCACATCTGCAGCACATAGCTTGATACATTTTCACACAGGCGTGCACCAAAACGTAGAACACTTACACCCTCTCATAATGTCCTCTTGGGTGCCTTCCCGGCTAGTCCCTGCCTCTTCTCACCTGAGATCATCTCTGCACTGATTTCTGTTACCATAGTTTAGTTGTGCCTGGCCTTAAATTCCGTATCAGTGGAATCATACAGTATTTGCTATTGTGTTTCTGGATCCTTTTGTTTAGCTTACTGCCTGAGAGTCATCCAAATTGAGTATATAACAGCTGTCCCCCCACATTGTTTTTGAGATGTTCCCTTTTATGAATATCATACAATCTTTTCATTCTCTTATAGTTGTACATTTAGGCTATTTATTTGGAGCTCTTAGATGTGAAGTTGCTGTGAACATCTTTGTACATATCTTTATGTGTGTGCAGGTACCCACTTCTCTTGGGTCTACCTCTAGGAGTGGAATTTTCAGGTCATAGGGTAGTAAGGACTATCTTCTTAAGAATATGCTGAACAGTTTTATGTGGTTGAACCATTTAATATTCCTTCCAGAAATATGTGAGCTTTCCAGGTCCTCTAAATCTTCATCAACACTTGCTTTTATCAGCTTGTTGTTCTGACTGGTCTAATGGTATTATTTTGCATTTCCCTCATGAGTAGTGATGTTGAAAATCTATCCATATGCTGATTAACCATTTGTATGCTCTTTTTTGTGGAGTTTCTGTGTAAGTATTCTGCCTATTTGAAAAAATCAAGTTGTTTGTTATTTTATTATTATTATAGAAGTTCTTTCTATATTCAGAATGTGAGTTCTGTGTTAAAAATATCTACTGTGAGTATATTCTTCCAGCGTATGGCTTATTGATTCATTCTCTTAATGATACCTTTTGATGAGCAGTTTTTATGTTTAATGGAGTTCAGTCTATTAGTTTCTATTTTCTAGTTAGTGCCTTTTCGTCTTCCGGTTAAGAATTCTTTGCCTACCTCATAGTCACAAAGCTATTCTTTTTGTTCTGTTCTAGAAATTTAGTTGCATTTTCTTTCAGAGGTAAAACCTTTCATAGTCTATCCATCGTGAATTCATTTTTAGATTCTTGGGCACTAGGGGTCAAGGGTCATTTTTACCCTTAGTATTATATAATAGTTCCATTCTGTTTACTGTTAGCTTAGAATCTTTGTCTTAAACCAAACAATCATTTTTGGTTCCATAACCCTTCCATCCACTTTGTGTGGTCTTCCACTCGTGGCTGCATCCACCTGCTCCATGGTGACATATGTGACAAACCAGAGCCTCTGGAGTGCTTGCTGTTGGCTCGCTCATTACCACACAGCCTCTGAGCACTCCCACACCTCCACTGAGTAGCTTCTGTAGCTGCTCCAGTTCCTTGGGAGATTCTGACTTAGCTATGACGCCAGTGGAAGGGGAGGCTTTTACACTTATTTAACAGCATCCCTGGGTGAAAAAACTTACTTTAATTTTTTTTTTTGCTAAACACCACAAAGTATAGAGACATAATGATATATCCCCTCTTTATGAATAGGCTCAAATCATTTCCAAACCCCTTGAGAAACCTTGCTATCATGATTCTATCCAGAGTGGATTCAAAGTCCATTGGTGCCTGTCTCTGGGCTAAGCTTTAAATAGGGCTGCTCTTGAGCACAAACTAGCAAGCACACACACAGCAACTGGGACCTACTTTTAATCTGAGTATATAGATCCACTTAAAATGGCTCTCGCAATTGCTGTCACCCACAGTGACCTGTTTACATTTTCTGTTAGTGAAAAGGGTAGGTAAAGGGTAGGTAAAGCAGCAAACAAGAAGCTAAGACCACAGTTCTCCCTGATGGGCTGAAAGACACTGCTGACCTCCCTTTCAGTGACATTACACTGTTGTTGCTAATAATTTTTAAATACTGTGTTTTATTTTTAATTGTAAGAAATCTTTTTTATTTAACTATAATATAGCAAGGAAAAAAAAAAAAACCAACAACAAAGTTTAAGTAAAATAAAAAACTCTGCCTGACTCTTTTTCTGTCCCCAGTGATTGAACCAGGGAAACTGCTCAAATTCATTTCAACTTAAAGCTGGGTAGCCCCAAACTATAAATTAACACGCAACATAGCACCCATGCTTACTGAGGGATCTCTTGAGTCATAGAAAAAACCCTGCTGTTTATGTAGCATGTGGAAGGACTTATGGATTTCTAGTTACAGAACGTTTATATATGTAGTATTTCAATTACTAGTTTTCAAAAATGTTCTATGTTATATGCTATTGAACACATTAAAGTCAACATGCTGTGGGTGAACATTACACCGACTATGTATTAATCTTTCTTTCATGACCCAGAAAGCGCCACCGCTAAAACAGAGGACACTTGAACCCAGAGTTAATATAAGCCATAATCCTGACTTTAAAAATATCTGCTCATTGTTTATTTGCATGGAATTGTGGTCTCTCATAACGGATTTTAACCTTTTGCATTTACCCAAAAGGAGGAATATCACCGACGTAACTTCACAGAAGTGCTCTCTCCCAACGTGTTCAACAGTAAGCTCTGGGAAGCCTCTGGCCACTGGGAACATTACAGCGAGAACATGTTCAGCTTTGATGTTGAAAAGGACACTTTTGCCCTTAAACCCATGAACTGCCCAGGGCACTGGTGAGTGGCGACAGCGAAGCGGGTCTCTGTGGAAGCGCACACACCTCACGCACTTCACTGCAGTTAGCTGCCACGGTGGCTGCTTTGCTGCGTAGAGCTTGGGAGGCCTTTCACTCAGAAAGCAGCGAGTACTGGTCGTCTTTACCAAGTTTTTTCTTTCTGGAGATTGAATTTGCTTTTGAAAATATGTTTGATCTTTGGCAGGTATGGAGTGTTAGCTGGAAACCATGTAGTGTTTTGTGCTTCTCAGAGGGTAACATTATGTAGTAACTTTATAAATGATTATAATATTTGTCTTCCGCGTGGCAGTACACCTCAAATATACATATTTGCAGAACATTTAATTCTTACATACTGTTGATTATAATAAGACTGTTAAAGTCATCACCAAGGAGTTGTTGGATTTTGTTCATTCCAAGATACCTTTCCCCACAAATTGTGACATCCCGGAAATTGGGATGTATCTTAGTGGTAGGTGATAATTTCACTAGTAGGCTGTTTTTTCATGGTGGTACACAAAATGGTAGCTCTCACAATCAATGTTGTCTTAGAGTGTGAAAGATTGGGAGTGTCAAAGTTGACATGGAAATTCAGCCTTGTAAGGCCAAGATTTTATAATTGGAAATGGACAACATAATTTGCCATACAAAATATTCCAACTAGTGTAGCTTAGTGTTACCAACATACATACTTCAAGTAAATTGACCTTAGAAGGCAACTATTAAAACAAACCACTACTCTCCATTGATGGTAGATTGGATAACGAAATTGTAAAATATGGAATACTGTTGAGCTATTTAAAAAGATGAAGCAGTGCCTTTCTGACTGGGTACTGAGGTGATTCTGCCACATGCCAGCTACTCGATTGTCTCACTCATTTGCAGACATAAATAACTTAAGAGAACAAATAGGCAAGACAACAGGAGTAATTCTTAGATTTTTGAATAATGCACTGGTTACCTGTGGGAGTGGAGGGGGAGGGGGAGGTAAAGTGGAGAAGGTGAAGGGGTAACGGCCCTGGAGCTTCACTGGAGGTGACTGAGGCATGGGGTCACACGTGGGCTCCAAAAAGTATACAGCTCTGAATAATAGTGACATACCAATAGTGCTCAGAAATAAATGAGGAGAAAAACCCTAACAAATCTCTGAACACGGAAAAAAGCTCTTTGGTCTTTTCAGTAAAGGTCAATTATAGGATGACAGCATTTAACAAAATATATATTTGCCTTTAATGTTGTGGGAACGGGAGGTAAATATTCCACAACCTCTCTCTTAAACAGAAAGCGGAGGCTTTGCCGTCTTCCGAAACACTTGTGTGGACAGCTTCTTCCCTCAGGGTCCTGTTTGGTAGCTTTGCAAACTGTGGCCTGTGATTTCAACAGCGATTATAAATAAGGCTGGATGAAAGTGAACCATGTACCTCTGTGCTGCCTGCCCTGGAACAGGGCAGCAGGACCCCAGAGTGGCCTAGCTGGGGTGCGACCTTGAGCTCAGCAGAGGACACGAGGGGAGGCCTCACAGCACTTGCTGCCGGAAGTGCAGGGTGACGTGACACAGTCCACTCGCTCGGTTTGCTGATGAGCAGCGTGGGCACAAGCAGATCTAGAGTCAGTTACGAGAAGCACCGTCAGTGACATCGTAGGCACATGGCAGGTGATCTTGGCGCGTGAGGAGAGACTGCGCAGGCCTGTGGGGGGCCGTGTCCAAGAAGGCTTCCCTGAGCAAAGGCCTTAGAAGTGAATTATAGACAGTAAGTGTAAATTCTCTGAGTGGAAGAAGACATGACAGCATTTCTGAAAAAGATAATAGGGTTCTTAACAGCACTGCCATGATATAATTTCAAGATTCAATCTGTAATGGGAGAACATGTTTTTTAAACTGGTGCTTTCAGAACCAGAATAAGGTGTTTGCAAGTTTTAAGGCTTTGTTGTAATTGCTTCACACATTGATATTTCCTTGGTCCTGTCTGTGTTATATGAACACTATGTGTCATTGCATCTCTTCCAGTCTAATGTTTGCCCATCGTCCACGATCTTGGAGGGAAATGCCCATTAGATTTGCTGATTTTGGGGTTCTTCACAGAAACGAACTATCGGGCACTTTGAGCGGCTTGACCCGAGTTAGGCGCTTCCAGCAGGATGATGCTCACATCTTCTGCACAGTGGAGCAGGTAAGCCACCTGCACCACCGTGCTCCTGAGACCTCATCAGCTTCCTAATGGACTTCTCTATGAGTCTTGCAATCCATTTTCCAAGCTTCAAAAGAACACATTGCATCATTTTTGTTCCCTGCTTCAAAACAAAAACCCTTCATTGCTTTTCCATCACTCTCTCGCTAAAAAGTGCAGATGTTGAGCCTCCCTGGTGGCGCAGGGGTTAACGTCTCAGTGCTACCAAGCTATCACCGGTCACTGCGACCTGAGTTCAATCCCCGCCCGGGAGCTGACCCACATGGCGCAGCAGACCTCTCCTGTCTCGCTTGCTGCTCCCCTCAGCAGTACTTCATTAGATCTACCTGTTCTGCTCCTTACTCTGTCTCTGTACTCACTAGTAAAAACATGCTCTTTCTAACTGGCATGGAGACGTTTTTTAATTTAAACAGGTGATGTGTGGATTTGATTTGGTATTTACTCAGAATATTTCATCTGCTCTCTTTTCAGATTGAAGAAGAAATGAAGGGGTGTTTGCAGTTTTTGCAATCTGTTTACTCAACATTCGGCTTCTCCTTTCAATTAAATTTGTCAACAAGGCCTGAGCATTTCCTGGGAGAGGTTGAGATATGGGATGAAGCTGAAAAGGTAGGGAGAAAGGAAATGTTTTTTCTTCAGCCTGTGAAAACATAAAACAACAGGAGGAAGGTGGGTTCTTTACGTGAGGACGTAATGCTGTGCCACAGGGAATGTGCGCCGGAAGTGACGGGTCAGTGTGCAGGCTGCGGAAGGCAGTAAGCCGGCTTCCTTGGAGCAGTGTCAATAGCAAAGTCTTCCCATTGTCTCACAGTTTATATCAGGTTTTCATTTCTACTCTTTTCTGTGCTGATGTCCTGTGAGGGGCAGTGGGTCCAGCTCCCCTAGGACACACACTTTCCCACAGCTTTTGTGACCAAAAGCTTGCTTGGCCCTGGCTGCTCTCTCAGGTCTTCCCCTTCTTGTTCTCAGGCCCAGTGAGACTCAGGGGCCTCAGCTTTATGCTCTTCCCCTGGCCTTTGCATGACTTTCTAATTCCTTGGGAGCACCCAGAGTCCGTCCGTCACCTGCTGATGCAGGACCTCATCTCCCCTGGGAATATGCACCAGTATCTCTCCTTTCAGAAACAGAGTGAGGGAGGAGGTCGCCTCCCAGCATGAGATGCTTCTGTGACGGTGGCCTTCTCCAGGGCTAGTGCACTGGGCACTGATTCAGTGGAATTAGGCTCACGAGGGAGCTTCCTGGGGCCTCAGCCAGGCTAGCTCCTGCCCCCTCTGACTGGGGTCCTAGAAAAGTCAGCTTTGTGGGTCACCAACTTTGGCCCCAACTCCTTGCCACAGTTTTTACTCCCAATGTCAGCTTCCTTTCTGAGCACCAATCTATTGGAGTGAAGACAGGATTTAGGTGGTGTCTTAGCCTCTGGTCAGGTACCGAGGAAGCCCAGCTGCTTTCCAGGAAAGCTGGACTCAGAAAATAGCCCAAGACGTAACCCTTTTACTGACACTCATACCTTCCTTCACTGCTGACTACCTTTACCCCAAGCTAACTTGAAAGAATTTTATGGCTTGGACTTAAGTGTCCTCCTGCTCCCACACCCCATAAGTTGTAAAGGGCACCCCCCAGTTACCTGTGCAGGGGTAGAGGAAAAAAAGAGAGGGTTCAAGGCATGCCCCTTGGTCCTCTTACACAGGACACAAGGACCAAGATCAAAACCTTTAAAGTGTGGAGCTGGGAGGGGTGGAGGGCACAGGCGCCTGCATTGGTACAGACACCTGCATTGGCACGAGGGCTGAAAGATCCCTCCCTGAACACTGACTGCAATTCACACAGTTAATTCGTGCATTATCTTTTAATTTTTATGATGACAATGTGCCTGTTCCCTGAAAGCAAGTACCATCTTAATCACCTTTATGTAGCCCCTGCTCAGTCATTGATTGAAGATAGTAGATGCTCAGTACATGCACCTTGAAATAAAATAGAAGGTAATTAAGATCTGTAGTAACTTACTTTTTTGAACTATCTGACAAAAAAGATACAGTGTAAGCATGAAGTAGAAGTTTTAAATGTTCTTTTCTTTGAAAAAATGGAATACAGCAACTACAGAACAGCTTGATGGAATTTGGAAAACCATGGAAGATGAATCCAGGTGATGGAGCTTTTTATGGCCCTAAAGTAAGTGATCTCACATGATACAAAGAGTGTAATTTAAAAGGCTCAGAACTCTGACTAAGCAAGCATCACTTAACTTACAGATTGATATAAAAATCAAGGATGCTATTGGCAGAGACCACCAGTGTGCTACAATCCAGCTGGACTTCCAACTGCCTATTAGATTTAATCTTACGTATGTTAGGTGAGTGATTGAATGTGATAATGCAACAATAATACCCTGATTATTTGTTGTTAGAGCACTAGCAATACAAAAACAAACACCAGTATCGGGTAGTGTATGTGTAATATATTAAATATATATATACATATATGCCTGTTTATAATTTAGTTGAGATGACTTCAGGCCTTTACAAAACTCAATCAGGTGTATTTGTGTGTGTCTACTTCTAGATTTTTAGTTCTGTTCCACTGATCCATTGGTTTTTTTCCTTTGTCTATACCATACCGCTTTGGTTACTATTGCTGTATGGTAAGTCTTAAGGTTAAATAATGTGAGTCCTTCATTCCTTTTAAGAACTTTTGGCTATTTTAATTCTTTTGCTTTAAATAGATCTACCAAAAATCCCAGTGGGACTTTTTATTGGAACTGCGTTAAATATAGGGTTAGTTTGCATAGAATTGACTTCTTATCTATATTGACTCTTCTAATCCATGAACTCCCTTGATTTCTTTCACTAATATTTTTGTATAGATCTCAGCATAGAAGGACTGAATATATCTTTTCATATTCATACTTAAGTATTTTACTTGGGGGAACAATTATAAATTTTATTATATTTTGAATTCTGACATCCACCCTTTCATTGCTTATAGGGAAATACAACCAATTTTGTCCATTCATTTTGTTTCCCAAGACTTTGCTGCACTCAGATAGTTCTAGGTATTTTGGCATTTATTGGGTAGAATTCTTGGAATCAATAGACAATCATATCACCTGCAAATTTGGATAGTTTAATATCTCATTGCCTCTTATTGCCTTCCGCACTAATTAAATGTCTCGTGTTATGCTGAATAAGAAGTTTGAGAGTGGACATGCTTACCTTGGTCCCAATTAGGAGCAAACAATAGGGTGGTTTTACCTTTAAGTACAGTATTTTCTATAGGTCTTTGTAGATGCTATTTGTCAAATTGAGAAAGTTCCCTAGTATCTCCTGATTTCCTGCTTAATCCATGTAAGAAAATGATCTTCAAATTAGACACATTTATATAATCTTCACAACATGTTTACAAATTAATTACCCCCAATACCTACTCGGCAGTGGGCCCAGGTAGGAAATTGAAAAAGAAATACAACTAGTCATTAAAAACATAAAATGCCATTCAACTTAACTAATTACACCATTGGAAATTTTTAAACATTACATTTCTAACTCACAAGACAACTTACCCAACTTACCCTTAATTTTTATAAGAAAAGGAGGACTTAGATTTTTTCACTGTCTTTGACAATTGTTCAATAAAATAGAGTAAGCTATAGTTCAAAATAAAGCTAATTAAAATTATGAATTTTTAGATTGTCTTTCATTATTAGTAAAATTAATACAAATAACTAGTTTAGAATAAAGAGAATCGATTGGTGGTAATAGAGAAAATGACCTAATATTTCCTAGATATATTTTACTTGCCTTTGGTTTGTCAAATAGATCATAATTTAAAAGAAAAAACTTTATTTCTATTAAATGGCACATTTTATGCTTAACGATTCCTTAAAGGAAGCCCATCATTTTTACCTAATTTGATAAAACAATTCTTAAGTACAGAGCAAGAAGAGAACCTTTTTTAATCATAAGAAAAGATATCAACATGCAGTTTTCATTTTTTAGTAAGGACGGGGAGGATAAGAAGCGTCCTGTGATCATTCACCGAGCCATCCTGGGATCGGTGGAAAGAATGATGGCCATTCTCTCAGAAAACTATGGAGGGAAATGGTAAGTGCTATGGGAAGGGAAAACTTCCTGTCTAGTCTTAAAAGTCACATCTAACAGGATAAAAGTAGTCTATCAAAATTGGTGGCTCCTGTCTTACAATTAGCAAGTATTCAGACTGCACATTAAGAATTCCTGTGGACTTGGCTTGATGAAAAAGCAAAACAAAGCAAAGGCGAAGTGACGTATAATACTCTGAATCATAAAGATACTCTGAATCATAAATACTCTGAATCATAAAGATAGCCATATGTAATTTATTTACCTTCTTGGGCAGGGGACTTCTTGGGAACTTAGTAGAGTTAAAGGGTTATTTTTCCCTCTATTTCAAGCCCTTCAACCATCTAGTTGTGTCTGGAAAAGGGACCAACTGTCGTACTGTAGGAAGAGTACATGTCTTAGACGTTAATATCTCATGAAGGCTTATAAAGGTACTAAGGAAATTCCACTGGGCTGCACCTCTTCTGAGGACTCAGTTTCCCTTCTGCACTGCTCAATCCTGACCAGCAGGTGACTGTGACTCTGAGGAGCTGCCAGCTGCCTTGTGGCAGGCCGGTGGGTCCCCTTCATCATGCAGAGCAGTGACTTGTCCTCACTGGATCAACTGCAGCTCTGGGGTTGGCTCTGTCCTTCCTGCGGGGCCTCTGCAGCAGCATGGCCCTGGCTCAGGGATAACTCACTGAAACTACTCACTGTCAGACGCGCAGCGATGCCTGACCACGAGCTTCAGTTTTTTGCAAAAGCAGCCAGTCACCGAGCCCACAGCACGGGGTTCACTGCAGTCAGTGCGCCAGCCCTCGGGAGCCACTGGCCCTCACAGCGCCAGCTGGCAGGGCTTGCCGTGTGAAGGTCTGTCCACGGGGCGTGGGGGTGCGGAGAAACTGCAACCCCAGGCGAAATGCGTCCTGCCACCGCATTTTGAAGCCACTGACAGAGCAGATGTTCAGGTGTCACTGTCTTGAGGCTCCGCGGTGCTCTGGCAGGCACCGACCCCGTTCGCTCCTGCGGCTGGCTCCCACACCAGATGGAACTGCTGGGTCACCGCCACAGCGGCTCCAGAGCCCTCATCTGTGTCCTCTGCCAGATTCTCCATCTGGTAATAGTAAACACTGCCTTTCCCTCCATCTTCAAGTGCAGCACTCATTATGCTGAAGAAAAAGCAAGCACCGCATCTGACATTGCTTTCGCCCACCTTTGTCTTTAAAGGAAAGCATTTCATTTGAGGGATTCATGCATTCACAGGTAGTGGTAAAAATAATCCAGAATGGTCCAGCTTCCCCTTTGTTTTATTTCCCCAACGACGACAACCTGCAAGGCCTAAACATCGTGATGGAGACGTTAATATTGATAAACTCCACCACCCTATTCAGATCTCATCAGTTTACATGCACCACTGTGTGTGCTACACAGTTTTATCACATGTACAGCTCTCTGTGGCCACCATCAGCCAAGATACAGCACAGCCCCACTACCATAAAGACCCATCCACGCTGTGCTATTGCCATGTAGCTTGTCCCCAGCCATCACCAACCTCTGGCAGTCACCTGTCTGTTCTCTTATCCATGATTTTATGGTCTCAAGAATGTTGCAAAGTGGAATTTGAGACTGGTGGCTTTTTTCTTTTTAACTCAATGGGATTCGCTTGAGACTCCATCCAGAGTGTCTTAAGTTTCAGTCCTTGGCTCTCCGTTATTGGGATGGTGTCCATGGTGTGGGTACAGCCAGGAAGCCATGCAGCTGCTGAAGGAAATGTGTCCACGTTTCCAGTTTGGGCTATTACCAGTACAGCTGCTGTGTGCACAGGGTTTTTTGAGGATGTGAGTTGCCGTTGCTCTGAGATCAGTGTGCAGAGGTGCCGTTGTGGCGTGAGGGTAAGTGCCAGCTCTTCCCTCCCTGTGCATCGAACTCCTGTGTCTCCTGTCTGCTCTGCTGCCCTGTACCTCTCCAAACACTGTGGTTATTTCCTTACCACCCCACTGAATCTGCTTTTGCGAAGTTTTACTGATTATGTTAGAATTTCGTGATTATTTAGACTTTGAAAGTACATCTCTTACCCATTTTTAGGCCTTTCTGGCTGTCTCCTCGTCAGATAATGGTCATCCCTGTGGGGCCAACTTGTGAAGAATATGCACTTCAGGTAAAATCAGAGATATTGAGAGAGTACATCAGAATCTTGGTGTCGTCTGTGAAGGTCTTTGATTTAAAGTGTTATTCACGACTTAAAATATTGCATGACTAACACATAATTTACCAACATGTTCTCAGGGAGTTGAGAGTCACACCTGAATCATGTCTATGTGGTATATCAGAGCTATTTTATTGCTTAATATTTAGAAGAAATTGGCATTTCCCCACCACTATGTGATATACCCCCTTAGCTCTCTTTTCCTTCCATTCCCCAGTTAACCTCTCACTTCATTTATTAATGTCTGCTGGTCTTGGCATTTTACTTAGTTGAATGGTTCACGTGTCCAGTGTTTGTCTCTGTCATTCTGAGTTCCTGGATTTCTTCCCATTTTGCTGTCAATGGCAACAATTCACCTTTCCTTGTGGCTGAAGAGCATTTCATAGTGTGAAAGACCACATCTTCTTGAGCCAGTCCTCTAGCAGTGGACATGCAGTTTGTTTCCACGTCCTGGCTATTGTACATAAGGCTGCATTGTAGAGCACAGCATCTGAGTTAATAGTTTCATGTTTGTATTGGTGCCCAGGAGTGAGCGTGCTGGGTCATAATGGTATTTGCATTTTTAGTTTCTTCAGGTAAACTGGAACATAAACTGAAAGTGTAATAGATTGGAATATTGCCTCATCGTGGCAGCTAGATTGCCCAGTGGGGTTATATATGAGAAGGAAGTCACAGTCTTTAAATCAAATCGCAGAAGTGACATGTCAGCACTTCTGTCCTTCTCTGTGGTCACAAAGGCCAATGTGGAGGGAACTATCCCAGGGGTGAACACCAGAAGTCGGGGACATGGCATGACTGAGGGTCCTGGCTACAACAAATAATGTCATAATGAAATGTGTCATTTTCTTGTAGGTATCCAGTGAATTTTTTGAAGAAGGATTCATGGCCGATGTTGATTTAGATCATAGTTGTACTTTAAATAAGAAAATACGAAATGCACAGCTGGCTCAGTATAATTTTATCTTGGGTAACTTGATTTTGTATATATTTTCCCAATGCTTTTTTTTTTTTTCACTTTAATTCCAAAGAACAAAATAAAAGATACAACTACTTGATAATAACAGTTCATACACAAAGAAGATTCCTGATTGGTCATTTCCTAAGTATCCTTCATTAGAAGAGTTGTAAAATGATTTCTGTGGTATATTATCACCGGCAATAGTGAAACCTCAGACCAACAGTGGAAAAAATTTGTGAATGATCTCATCTGTAGAACTATACTCTTTCATGTTTCAATCATGTGACAGACATGATCTGTTTCCTCCTCACTTTTCTGGTTTATTAGAAACCTTTGGGACTGAACTAATAAGTAAAAATATTTCAGATTTAAAACTGATCAGATTTAAGTGAAAAAAAAATACAATGTCCTGAGGCACAGGAGTAATTGGGATGCAGAAATTAAAATTTTGACTCTTAAAATAACTAATGCTGAAGGAAAGCTCAGTATCATGTGACTGTTGAACTAAAGTTGGGTAAGCTGCTGATTATAACGTTTATGTACTTTTCTTTCAACAGTGGTTGGGGAAAAGGAAAAGGCAAGTAGTGCTGTAAATGTTCGAACCAGAGACAACAAAATTCACGGAGAGATTGCAGTAACTGCTGCTATTGATAAATTGAAGAATCTCAAGATATCGCGAACACTAAATGCTGAGGAAGATTTCTGAAGCCTTTCCCTGGACTTGTTTCTGTGTAACTGTTTTGACCCTTGAACGTGTTTTTCATAACTAATGTTAGTACTTTTAAGAACTTTGGCCCCTCTGGAGGGTCCACAGATGGGGACAAGAAAGCAGATACTGAACGAGTAGCTCAAATAATGGCCGGAGTTCAAACAGTGGGCAAAGTTTAATTCACTGTGGCAGAGGACAGTAAGAGGAAAACTTGGGAGATTCCTAATTTTCCAAATGCCTTGAGACTTAAATGGGAAATACCAGTAAATGAGGATTATGAGATGATTTGCTATGAACTGTGATTCTCAAAAGATATACTTCAAAAAAGTCTGCAAAGCTTTTTAAGTTAGAGAGAAAAAATCTTATTTTCTAATAACACTACGTCTCAGGTATTTTTACGGCTGTTTTACTGAAGTTCACACTGAAACTCTATCTCCAAAATTAGAATCACTGCTTTGTTTTAACCAACAGCCGCAAAAGAAGCTAGTACTTCTTTTGCTGGATTACTAACAAAGGATTCTAACCCTCACCGGAATTCCGTGTTGTGGAATCCACTGTTATTTGCCCTGTTGTGTTGCTGTTGCTGTTTTCTGCTTTTAAATGGCAATGGAGCCTTGCTCATCTTTAGAAAAAAATAAATTCCCAAATAAATTGCTTCCATGTTTCCGTTGTTTCGGTGATGGACTTAGACCGTAATGACCTGGTCTCCTAAATTACCTTTTCCGCTCACTTTCTGATTTTCACAGAGAGGGGTACCTTACCACTCAGAACCAAATTAAAATGCCTTAGTCCCATTGGAGAATTTACCAACCAAAAAGTATTTAGTGTTTACTTGGGTAAATGCTGTGGAATTTAAGTTTACATAGGCTGTCTTTTCAACGTGATTATTTAATCAGCTTCTCGGTTGGTAAATAGAGCATTCTATGTCAGACCCGTGCAAACCATGTGATTTCCTAAGCTAACATCTATGGAGACCAGGCACTACTCCATATATATTTTGCACTCATCAAAGGAGTGGGGATCAGATTTTGTGGCAGGTGGATGTGAAGAGGGACGTCAACAACCCTGGAAAAGTAGGTGGTCGTAGAGATGGGTGCAGGTTGCACTATGACTAGGCAGGGAGCAAGACAGCCCTAGGGGCGGCTCCCCTCCCCAGCTTGCCCTTCTCCAGAGAGGAGGCCACGCTTTGCACCCTCCTCTCACATCTTGGGCTCTGGCCCCATATCTGAAGACCTGCTCGTTATATTTAACGTCTTGCATCTCTCCGTCTTAAAGAAAATTTCAGGGACTAGCGCCTGTTTTAAAAGGAGTTGGCAAGTAGTGAAACCCACTTCAGGCCACAGCACTGCCAGGCCGGTCCATTTGGGGAGTGCGCTTTGGATAGCTACCTTCCTGCAGTACCTAGTAGACAGTGGTAGGTTTTCACGTGTCACTTTCCCAATTGGCCGTCTCTGGCTTTCAGTCACCCTAAAAAGAGCAAACCCGGAAATAAAAAGGGGCTTAATAAAAGGGTCTATTTACTTAGGGCGTGCGAAGAGGAGCGGGAGGAAGAAAACGAGATTGGTCTGCTGAACGCACTCTGTCCTATCAGCAACTGTGAGCTCAGCCTAGGAGCCCAGGATACCGGAAGCTGCGGCGCTGCTCCCCAGCCAGAGGCCCGAGTGGTCGGGGGTTGGGGGAGCGAATCAGAACCTGGGGGCCATTCCCGATCCATAGTCCTCCGGAGGGCAGCAGCCGACGGGGGTGAGAGCGCAGCACCCCGGCAGAGAGCCGCGACTCCCCGCTTTGTCCCCTCCCAGCCATGGGAACCAGAGACGCTTCTGAGGGCTTCACTCCCGGCGGAGGCACTTCCAAATCAAGCAGGTGGGCAAAGAGGGTGTGAGCAGAACTGAGTTAAGAAAAGGAGAAACCAGCGCACTATAGCGCCGGTCAGCTCCTTCCTGGTTCCCAGCAGCCCTCCTTTCCCAGGAAGTCGCGTTAGGGCATGCTGGGAGTTGTAGTCCCAGGGGCAGAGGTGGGGGCGGGGACGATAGCGTGTGTCCGGGAGTTCCAGGTGAGCGCTCCTCCCTCCCCACGCCGCTTGCCTCCGCGACTCCTGTACAACTTTAGATGTGAACTCTGGGTGACCAAGGGCGCGCGGGGCGCTTGGAAACCAAGCACCCCCACTGGGTCGCAGGTCGCACAGCCGAACCCCCCCCTCTCCCGCTTTCTCAGAGAGCATCCGGCTAAGTACCGCATGTCCAGTACCAGCCGGGCGCACACCTGCGCCTTTGCGCCCAGGAACACGCCTCGCCCCGCCCCTCGGCGCCCCGCCCCTTAATTTAGTTCCGCCCCGCGGCCCGGAAGTACGCGCGGGCCGGCAAGATGGCGGCTGCGGCGGGCCCGCTGCTTGTCCTCTGCCGTGTCTGCCGCCTGTTGCTGTTCCTCTCACAGTTCTACATCTTGTCGGGCGGTGGTGAGTTGAAGGCCCGCGTCTGCGCCGGGATAGGCGGGGTGGCAGGGGCTTCCCCGGGACCGCTGGGAGCGTCCGGTCTGGGCCTGCGGGCGGAGGGCAGAGGCTGCGTGCGGGGCGCGGGGTCGCAGCCGGCTGAGTTGGGAGAGTCTTGGCCGCCAGGTGCGCCGCCGCCCCTCGGCTCCGGGACGTCGGGGTCACAGAACTCGGCTGGGGAGGCTTCGAACAGAGGGGGCCGAGGGCTCTGGGGCGCGGCCGGGAAAGCGGAACTGGATCCCGGTACCAAGCTTTGTTAATTCCCCCGTTGCTCAGAAATCTGAACTGGGGCGATTCCGGTGTTGGTTGATTCTTCCTTATCCCGGGCGATTAGGCCGTGAGGTTTTCAGAGCAGTCATTGACCTGCGCGGACCCTGCGTGTTAAAAATTTCAGAACCAAGGATATACCGTGTTTCTCTAATTGTTGGATCCTTAAATTTAGAGCATTCGCAGCCGCTGGCTCAGTCATTAAAAGATCCGGGTCCTACACGTACTTTCACAGTAATTCCCAGAGCAGCAGGTACTAGACATTTTCTATTCTAGTAAGTGTGTCTATTTATATCTGGTAGTTTCTCTCTCCTCTCTCTCTCGAATACAGTTTCTTTTCCATTTTTTGAATAGTTACTGCCTTTTAGGTTATGTGAGCCAAAGGCAGCATATAATTTCCTGTAGACAGTCTTCATGTTTCAGTGCGTTTGGATATCTCTGCCTCATCTCTTTTTCCAGTTTCATACTTCACATTTCCATCTTCTTAGTTCTGTTATTATTCCACTTCATCAAGATAACCATCAACCCTTCTTCCCCATCAGAAAATCTCTTCTATTTCTTCTTGAAGCCTGTTGATAATGTTGGATATTAAAGTCTCCCTCCCCCCAAGGCTGGTGGAATGGAAGCATCACAGAGGAACTGATAAGAGACATGGAGCCTAGGTCTGATTGTGCTACTGGGAGCTTAAACAAATTATTCCCCCTCGTGGGTTTCCTCTTTTATCATGTGGTAAGTTTAGCCAGGCCCTCTAAAGTTATTTATGCAGTGTGATCCAGGAAGCAGTCGACTCGCAGCTACAATAGTAATAGGAACATTAGGAAAAATGGTATTTTTGCAATTGCCTCCTTAATGCAGTGACACGAAGTAGGGTCGGGTGTAAGTTTTAGTATGTTTTACAGACTAGAACATTTGTCTCTATAGTTTCATTCCGTAGATAATAGGTTAACAAATTATTGCTTATTGAAGTACTAGTGTGCAATATGACCCAGGGCATTTTCTAGAATTGGTACCATGTACTGATTCAGTTTGAAGTCATTCGTGTTTAACTTAGTGAATTCAAGTAAAATGAATATTGGATTGGAAATTGAGAGACTTGAGTTTTGGTTCAAGTTTTGCAAGATCCCTCTGATCTTGAACTGAACAACCCTACCAACTTTAAGCCTTAGCGTTTTTTTTTTTCTTAACATGGTAGATTTCTGAGTCCGTCACTTAGACTTAACAATTATATACATACTCATCTATACATGTGTATGTTTGTATATGTAAACACAAGGTCCTATGTGGCTCGTGGTAATTGAGGAGACAATAATTACATATATTTTACTTAGCTCTTGCTCCAGGTCACATAATGAGCAGGTGGCAAAACCCAGTTTTGATTTTGGGTATTTCTGACTCCAGCTCTGTGTTTTTTCCATTCCTCACAGCATCTCATTGCTAATGAACTTACCCTTAACCTCAGAACGTTGTCTTTCTCTTGTTCTAACCAGTGTTCTGAGAGAATGAGCTGGACTTTCATTTTCACAGAGAGCACCGATAGCCCACCTTACATAATGAAGTGCCCCAGCAACGGTTTGTGCAGCAGACTGCCCGCAGACTGTGTAGACTGCAAGACCAACTTCTCCTGCATCTACGGGAAGCCCGTCACGTTTGACTGCACAGTCAAGCCTTCGGTTACTTGTGTTGTAAGTATCGCAGCTAAGGTGTTTCTGTGTAAGGCTGCCCGTCTGGGAGATGGACAAAGGAGAAAAACAAGGTGTCCTTTACATCTTTTTGGCACTAGGTCTGAAAAAAGGCTACAATGGGAAGTTCTTCCATTCTCCAGCTCTTTCTCTAATTTTCTTGAGGCCTTATGAGGGAGCTTCACTCCAGAGAAAAGATTTTGTACTGACTGCACTGCTTGAATGTCATTTTCATAAACTGAAGTGTATGCCATTTGTATATCCCACTGTTACCCTTTCGAGTGCGCTGGAAAATCCACCTGCTTTCCAGGCATCTTCATGACTGCCTCTGGTTATCAGTCTGTTGCTGTATCTCAACTAGGACTTTCTCCATACTTGGCTAATGGCTGACTCGTTTGAAAGCATTTGCAGCATATTTTGTGGGTCTGGTGCATAGTGGGTCCCTAGTGGAAAATGGGAGAATTTGCAGCCCTAGAGCTTTACCAGTATCCCTTGGTTTGCCTCAGTTCTTTGACTGTCAAGTTCTGAAACTGGCTCTGGAGCAAGACATAGAGCTCAGTTTCTTCTTTCTTTTATTGCTCCCAAATCCTGCAGGCTCGCTTACTGGAAAATAGAGGATAAGAAAAATAACAGTGGCAGAGAAATTACAAAACTTGCTTAGGCAGGTTCCCACACTCCTGGGTCGTGGTACTTGGTATAGCCCTTGCCCCTGCTGAGATGTGCCTGGATTAGTTCTTCCCCTCCACCTACTCCAGGTGCTTTTTCTCACCTGTTTCCTGTTTTACGAGCCAGTAATACGACCCCACAGAGTAGCAGGTGCCCATTCCTCAGGTGTGGAATATGAAGTGTGCAATTTGAGGGTCTGGTGGTCTGTTTCTTCTTAAAAGTAAGGACAGTAAAACTTACGAGCTGGCTGTCAGGACTCGAGTATCGCCGCCAGATAGCCTAGGACGAGCCATGGTTCTCACTTGCTTAATAAGATCTGTTGGCTCCCTTCTTGGTAAATAAGCTGTCAGTGAGGAATTATTTGTGAGCATCACATGTGTTCACTCCTTTAAATGGAAAGACCTCCCCACCCTTTCCGCATCGGCTGACTGCTGTTGCACTTATGGTAACGCAGGCCAGTTGATGCCGGCTGGAAATGTGCTTGACAGAGTGTTGCTCCGCTTCCTTACAGATGTCAGACTGCTGGGTGGGAGCCGTG